CATGATTTCCGCTATGGCAAGACAGAAACATGTCAGACATTTGACAATCCTCCTCTTGTGCCAAATGGAGATTTTGAGGTTAAGGTTATAGAAGTGTACAGTCTGATAAATATGTAAGTGAAAAAGTGTTAAAAGAATGGATTAGATTGTTTTTTATATATAATCTACGTTTATTATAATTAGTTTTGTTGTTCAACTGTGGATTACACTTTTAAATTGTTTTTGCCAAGGTTAGTACAGTATTTAGTTTTCATATTTAATGTTGTTAAGATTATTTTGAGGTTAACATATCATTTGTTGTAAGGTAGAATAATCCAAAGAACTAAATAATTGAGATAGATTTACATGATACTCATCTATTTAGAATAATTTATCAGAGGATGAACTCTACATTAAACACATTTGTTGCAGTCTATTGTATACATACATATTTTTTTTAATATATGCTTACTTTAAGATATCGTTAGTCATGTGCATTATTTTGCATATGATTCTTTTGAATCCTAGTCATGTATTGTGTGTGCTCATTTGTGCACCAATTGTTAACACAAGCTAGTGTGTGGCTGTTATGTAGTAATTATGCTACATGAATAGAGCATCAGGGTTTATCATAACACACACACATGCACACACATTATGAACAAAGAAATCTCATAGGAATAATGTTACAATTTAGATAGCTGCCCAAGATGATTCAGCAATAATTTCCTTTAGAACAGAATGTATTAATTCCCTGCCTCTAGCTGATAAGTGTTGGTACCATGATATGCAAACATTTATGCTGAACGCTTGAGGGTGATAATGACAAGGCTATAGGTGTAATGCATTTGTAGTTTGCTCAAGTGATGCGTTGTTACCAAATTCTAAAGATGTATTTGACAAATCAGAAAGTAGTGTATTAGTGCTTTGAAATTTGTCATTGGAATAGGTGAAACCTCACATTGCAGATACACTGATTTTTCCTTCTAATGTTAATAGCCTGAAAATTTTACTTAAGACAAAAAATGAAACATGGGGTACACATGTCTGCTTAACAATGCCACTTCATGTTTGGTTGATTTTGACCTAAATGTTGGTTTCCTTTTATTTAAAAATTAGAACACTTGTAAATTTGTGCATCAAAAAATTTTCCTTGTTCATTATCTGCAGTATGAGGCTCTTATCAATTATTTTTGTGAACCCTTCAGTGTTTGTCAAGTCACCTTGCCCTGAAACCTAACTTTGCTCTGTGTTGTAACTGCTACAGTTCATGCTATTAGACTTCAGTCATTGTGAAGCTTTGAACCCCTAGCATTTTTAAGGGCAGCTTTATTCATCATAAAATGTTATTCCTTTGCATTTGGTATAAAATGCCATAAAAAATATTCACTTTGCCTCATAGATATAAATTACAGATTCCCTATTATTTGTATAATAAATTTATACATGGAACAATTCAGTACGAAGTGTTAAGTGCAAATACTTAACCACTGCCAGGGTGTAAATTTGTTTATATATATATATTTTTAAATTCATAACATTAACGTTGCTTCAGTGCATAAAGGTACACATTCAGCTTCACATATTTATTTATTGCAGATATTAGAAAAAAAACATATGTAACTCACTGGACACTTGTTTTTGACTATTAGCATTTATATATCAGACACATTAGTTTGGTGTATATAGGTGAATTATATAAATTCACTTTGATGTTATTAAACAAAATTTATGTAGTAACTACTCGTGCAATTAAAGTTGTAGAAAAATTTTTCTTTATACATGCAAGTTCAAATTGAGTCGTGTAATGCCAAAAAAATTCAGTTGTGTACTGTACCCCTTCAGCATTTGCTATTTTTCCCACTCGCTAATGTGTTTTTTTTTTTTTTTATATTGCTAGTTATCCAAGGCTAAGTTCATTGATCTGTGACTTGCATATGGTATTATGGCATTATCCATTAGTTGGGCTCCTGGAACTGTCTTTTGTATGATTTTATGACATTACTTGTGAACATGTCTACAAGGTGTGTGACTATTGTGTGCTGTTACATCTCATGCATACATATCTTGAAGATAACTCATTTCTACTGTAAATGGCAAGAGTCTAGAACACATACCCCTTTCCCTTTTCAAATAAAAAGTACCATATTGTTGAATTCACTATCCATGAACTGCTCATGGAACATATCCTTTGCAGATGCTGATTGGGTATACCAGTAGATGGAAGTACTTAACATTTAGTGGAATAGGAACCATATCATGTTAATGTTAAGTGACAGCCATTTTCTTTGTGGTTAAAATGTTCGGTAAATTGGTACTGTCAGGTACTGTGTCCAGTATGTTGAGTCTCATTTTATTCATTATCCACTTGAAATGGTTTGTTAATGAAGTTTATTTGTAAATATATAATATGGCCAGTAACTTATTAGATGAATACTGCAACTTTTTTAGTTTTGCAGTTGTATTGTTTTACCATTTATTTTATTGTGTTGTAGCAATGAAAGTAAAGGATGTTGAAATATGTGTTTGTTTCATTGGAAGATATCATTCAGAGCCCAAATAGTTTTTGAATACTGCAAACTAAAATTCACAATTTTATTTATTATTTTATTATCACACTGGCCGATTCCCACCAAGGCAGGGTGGCCCAAAAAAAGAAAAACTTTCACCATCATTCACTCCATCACTGTCTTGCAAGAATCTTCACCAAAGTTTTTGAAACTGCAACATTAAATCACCATCTTTATTAGCTATTGTATTATCCACATGGCCAGTTCCCACCAAGCAGGGTTGCCCAAAAAGAAAAACTTTCACCATATTTACTTTCTCACGTCTGCCAACAGTCTTTACACTAAAGTTTTTAAACCAATAACACCCTCCTTGTGCAGCATCACTTCCTTCAGACCAAGTCCGGCTCTGCTGGTTCCCCTGAACCTCAAAGTTACTTTGCTACACTCCACAGCACTCAACATTAAACCATTTTCTACCATCACTCCTATCAACCGCTCATTGCTTCCTCTGGAAGTACCATACCCTCGCACACAAACCTCCTTTACCCTCCTCCAACCTTCTGCCATACCCTATCCCATTCTTCACTACAGACGTTCCTCTTGAATAATTATATTCGCTCCATTCTCTCTACATGTCCGAACCACCTCAACAACCCTTCCTCAGCCCTCTGGACAACAGTTTTGGTAATCCCGCACCTCCTCCTAACTTCCAAACTACGAATTCTCTGCATTATATTCACACCACACAATTAGATAAATAAATTACAGCCTCTCCTCACTTAGCAACGTACTCGTTTACAGACGACTTGGACTTACAACGGGCTCTCTGACCAGTATGCCCCTCAAGGAAGGTTCCTTGATGTTGGTGAGGGGCTCTTGATTTAGGAAATTGGATGTGCTCCAGTTCCCCGAATTAAGCCTGAATGCCTTCCACATCCCCCCCCCCCCAGGCGCTGTATAATCCTCCGGGTTTAGCGCTTCCCCTTGATTATAATAATAATAATCTGACCAGTATGCATACCTAAATAATGTATTAGAGCTGATTTCCTCTTTTTGTTCATTACAATATACAGTACACTACTGTATAAACATATAAAATTATACCAGAAATGTTATAAATGGTGCAAAGGTGATATTAAAACAAACCCACTACCATTATAGTATGCTCATCACTTAATGACGAATTCGTTTACTGACGTGGTCTCAGGAACGGAACTCCGTTGTTAAGTGAGGAGAGGCTGTATATTGAGAATTTAGGAGTAATGCAACAAACTTTTTTTTTTTTTTAATAACTGTCTTTCTTAGGAAAGAGATTGTAAACTTCACTTTTGACATCTTCAATGCCCATACTCTCACACTACCTGGAAAAGCATGTTAAGAAACTGGAGAAAGTACAGAAATGTGCAACAAGGCTTGTCCCTGAGTTATGAGAAGAGCTTAATGGAATTGAATCTTATTGGTAACATTGGAAGACAAAAGAACCAGGGAGACATAACATACAAAATACTCAGGGTAGTTGATAAAGTAGACAGGGATAGGCTGCTTGAGAGGTAAGAAATGAGAACTCTGGGGGGAGTGGCTGGATTGTCAGAGATGAGCCACAGGGATGTTAGAATGTCTGATCTTAGGTCAGAAAGTGATATATATATATATCGTGCCTAATAGGTAAAACTGGTCAATTAGCAAGAACTCACTTAAAATTAAGTCCTTTCTAAAATTCTCGTATACGTTAACACATTTTTTTTATTTATATTAATATAAAAATTAATAATTTTGTACCAAAAGGACCTTAGAAAACTTACCTAACCTTATTATAATAAGCACAATTTAATTTAGCCTAATCCAACTAAATATATTTTAGATAAGTTTACAATAATTTAATAATAAACAAATGCAATGAAATATTCTTTTTCGTTAGGTTCGGAATGATTTTTGCGAAATTACTGCATACACAAATTTTCGCTTGCCTTATTCGGCAAGAAGAGCATTGCTATTTAAGGCTTAGCGCTTCTTTTTGATCATAATAATAATAATAATTGCTATTTAAGCCAAAATCGCAAGTTTTATCTATTTGGCATCATACACACTATTACAACCCAGAAGTCCCAAAGGTCTGTTATCCTGGGTGTAAAGGGAGCAAAATAAACACAGCAGAAAACTTTTGACTTGTATTATCCTTCACCAAGTAAGAAAAGAATTATGTACACTAGACACTATGTACAACAATAGGTATTAGTGCAATCCACGGTAAGCAAAGTAGAATAGGAGCCACTAGAGAGCACACTGTGCTTCAACCAGCTCTAGAATGGGAATGACAAGGGCAGACAGGTGTGTGGTACCCACAACACCTCTGCGATTGCCAAAACCATCTTCTCATTGGCTGGAACCTGGGTACTGACTGAACGATGGGGCCCCATCGTTAACCCTTAGCACCTGGTTCGCTGGTTGGGGGAGATAGCCTTTCAATGAGGGTGTGTACATGCGCTGAATAAAGGTTATGTACTCTTTGCATGACACACACACAGAATGAGGCTGAGGCAGGACTGCAAAGAGACCTGGACATGTGGTCCAGAAACTGGCTTCTCGAATTCAATCCTGCCAAATGCAAAGTCATGAAGATTGGGGAGGGGCAAAGAAGACCGCAGACAGAGTATAGGCTAGGTGGACAAAGACTACAGACCTCACTCAGGGAGAAAGACCTTGGGGTGACCATAACACCGAGCACGTCACCGGAGGCACACATCAACCAAATAACTGCTGCAGCATACGGGCACCTGGCAAACCTGAGAATAGCGTTCCGATACCTTAATATGGAATTGTTCAAGACACTGTACACTGTGTATGTTAGGCCCATACTGGAGTATGCAGCACCAGTCTGGAACCCACACCTGGTCAAGCACGTCAAGAAGTTAGAGAAAGTACAAAGGTTTGCAACAAGGCTAGTCCCAGAGCTCGGGAATGTCGTACGAGGAAAGGTTGAGGGAAATCGGACTGACGGCACTGGAGGACAGAAGGGTCAGCGGAGACATGATAACGACATACAAGATACTGCGGGGAATAGACAAGGTGGACAGAGATAGGATGTTCCAGAGAGGGGACACAAACAAGGGGTCACAACTGGAAGCTGAAGACTCAGACGAGTCACAGGGACATTAGGAAGTATTTCTTCAGTCATAGAGTCATCAGGAAGTGGAATAGCCTAGCAAGTGAAGTAGTGGAGGCAGGAACCATACATAGTTTTAAGAAGAGGTATGACAAAGCTCAGGAAGCAGAGAGGGAGAGGACCTAGTAGCGATCAGTGAAGAGGCAGGGCCAGGAGCTGAGTCTCGACCCCTGCAACCACAATTAGGTGAGTACACACACACACACCGCGACAGAACACAAGAAGAAAGGCAGAAACTGAGAGAGATGGTACAAAGGCGAAAGGAGGAAAGAGAGGGGATGGAGGAGACAGACAGGAGATCCCAGGCCCAGGAAGAAGATCAAATACAGCCTCCCTCACAACTTCCTATAGAAGCCCCCCAACCAGGTCAACCCCAGTGCAACCAAACATTCTAAACCAAAACACCCATGCCATATCCAATGCCCCCACCCACTGCATTACAAACTCCACCCCCACCGCAACCACCCATAGTTCCCTATCAGGTCTCCCACATCCCCAACCCCAATATACCCCCCAGACCACAGTCTTAGAAAAGAAGTTGAAGGTGTGGTATACAAATGCAGATGGTATAACAAAAAAGTGTGAGGAGTGGCATGAAAGAATCAAGGAAACATCCCCAGACATAATAGCACTCACAGAAACAAAGCTCACCAGAATGATAACAGATGCAATCTTTCCACCCAGACATCAAATCTTCAGGAAAGACAAAGGGAGGACAGAGGGAGGAGGAGTTGCACTGCTCATTAAAAACCAGTGGGGTTTTGAGAAAATGGAAGAAGAGGACAGCACGGGCGAAAGGGACTACTTAGTAGGAATGATCCAGTCTGAGGGACATAAGGTCATAATTGCAGTAATGTACAACCCACCACAGAACTGCAGGACGCCAAGAGAAGAATACGATGAGAGCAACAGAGCAATGGTCGACACACTAGCCGAGGTGGCCAGAAGAGCACACATGGGGGGAGCAAAGTTACTAGTTATGGGTGATTTCAATCACAAGGAGATTGACTGGGAAAACCTGAAGCCCCATGGGGGTCCCGAAACATGGAGAGCCAAGATGATGGATGTGGTTCTGGAAAACCTCATGCATCAATATGTTAAGAGACACCACCAGAGAGAGGTGAGGATGATCCAGCAAGACTGGACCTTGTATTTACCTTGAGTAATTCGGACATCGAGGATATCATGTATGAAAGGCCCCTAGGAGCTAGTGGCCATGTGGTTCTGTGCTTTGACTACATAGTTGAGCTCCAAGTGGAGAGAGTAGCAGGAATAGGATGGGAAAAACCAAACTACAAAAGGGAAAACTACTCAGGCATGAGGAACTTTCTGCAAGACATTCAGTGGGAGAGGGAACTGACAGGAAAACCAGTACAAGAAATGATGGACTATGTGGCAACAAAATGCAAGGAGGCAGAGGAACGGTGTGTTCCCAAGGGAAACAGAAATAATGGGAAGAACAGAACGAGTCCTTGGTTCACCCAAAGGTGTAGGGAGGCAAAAACTAGGTGTACTAGAGAATGGAAAAGGTACAGAAGACAAAGAACTCAGGAAAATAAAGAGATTAGCCGAAGAGCCAGAAACGAATATGCACAGATAAGAAGGGAGGCTCAGCGACAATATGAAAATGATATAGCATCGAAAGTCAAGTCTGACCCGAAGCTGTTGTATAGCCACATCAGGAGGAAAACAACAGTCAAGGACCAGGTAATCAGACTGAGGAAGGGTGATGGGGAGTTCACAAGAAACGACCGAGAGGTATGTGAGGAGCTCAACATTCTGTAATTATTATTTTACTACATGTAAACCACACAATAACCAAATTCTGTAAACCCAGCATTGTAATCC